CCCCAAAACCCCAAAACCCCAAAACCCCAAAACCCCAACACATTTTAAAGAAATTGAAAGATCGCTTATCAAGAAAATGGGTTCAAAAAGTCATAAGAAAAGGATTTTCAGAAAACGCAATACATTTGCGCTCAGGGTATCAAGTTTTCTCAAGCTCTTTGATATGTATGGCAAGAATATCGTACTTACTTATAATGGGGAGGACAAATACCGAACCCTGATAGGAGGGATAAGTAAATTTCATTCGTAATTTTTAGCATCTATTCTAGTCTGATTTTTAATTATCGCATATGCTATATATCTCACATCTGTGATGTTCAAATAAAGATAATACAACATACACAAAGGCATCGTTCCTAAATGATTTGTATTCCAATGTTGAGGTACATCGCCCGGCAGTTCATGATAGAGTACATGATAGTGTACATGACCAGGCTAATGGAATAAGCCAATCACAATTCGACCTTGCATTCCAGTTTACAGCTGATGGAGTCGACCTTGTGAGAGACCAAACAGCATTCACATTGTTTATTAATCATGTTGAGCAAGAATGGGTGACTGAAAATGGAGATACTTATCCAAAAAGATCCTACAAAAGTATAGAATTTGAGAAGTGTGGGGAAACTCGCTTCAGCTATGATAATCTTGATGAAATCAAGAGAATCGGAGTGGACAACTACTACTGCTTCAAAAATAAAAACTACTCGATCGGAGGCAGCTTCTACTCGCCTAAATACCACTACCTCGAAATGAAGCTCAGACGCTGAGTGGCTGGCGCTTCCTCATGCAAGAGTGACTCTGAAATAGAAGCTCTTATCAAAGCTTCAAGGTTCTCGATGGCCATTGTGAACACAGTCGTGGACCTCAAAGACTACAAGAAGCCGGTGCAATACATGATCGACGACGGACTTTTCTGGGAGTTAGTGCCAGGCTTCAGAAAGAAAACTGACATTTTCTTGAGAAAGAATGAAGCCTCGTTTGAAGACAACTATGTGCAGTTAGGGTTTCCGAAGGAAGAAGAGTTTTACCAGGTGGCAGGGACCAAAGACAGATTTGAAAGTGAATCATCAAAAGGAGACTTACTATCGATTTATCTCAGAATTGATAAAATTACAGACACTTATGAACGTCAGATCTACTCTATAGGTGAACTCCTAGGCCAAGCAGGAGGTTTCTACGGCGCCTTGATCGGTTTTGGCTCTCTCTTCCTGACTATCTTTTCTGAACGACTCTTTGTTAGCTCAGTGCTGAGAAACATCTATCAGGTAGACTCTTGGCAAGAAAGAGAAATGCTCGATGAAGAATTGAGACACCAGCACTGCCAAGAGTACAAGAATAAATTCATCCAATATAAACCGGACGGAAGAAAGGTTAAAGTTCCTTATACCCAGTCTGAGAAGTTCCATCATCAAGCTTTTGAAGATATCAAAAGAATGAATTACCTTGAAGCCAACTCTGAAGGCAACCAACTCAAGGAGAATATTCTTGAGAGGTGTGAACAGAGCATGAGAGAGCGTAAAGTGTTCAAGTATGGGTACAAAGATATCTTGCATTACTTGCTCTGATGAGCTTTTTGAAGGAGAAAGAGATCGATGAGGCTTAAGCCAGGATTTAGAGAACACCTTTACTTTGAAATTGGACAAGAAAAATTACTTGATGAACTTGATTGAATAACTATTATTAAGGCTGTCAGGCAGCTCAAGTTATTGACAGCAGTTTTGTTGAACAAACGACAAAAATTCTTAATGAAGTTCCAGCGCAACAATGTCATTGATAGTTCATCATCTGGGACTTCTGATGAAGGTCAAATGAACATCATCGACCTGATGGCAAGCAAAAACAAATAAGCATGTTGAGATTGTCAACAAGAAGATCAACAAAGTCATCGAGAGTTTCTGAGACAAGCCATTTCAGGAGATCGACAAGAGAGTCATCAGTGGGATCATGAAGAAACGATTCTCAGATTCAGAAGGAGAGAACAAAGATCAGGATCAGTCATTAGATCTTAATTTAAGTCCTCTTAATTTCAAATTTTTGAAGGTCTGATGATTTTATAGATAATAATTCATCGGTATCTAAGTCAAGAAAAGCAGATACTATAATTCCTCTGAAAAGCAGGTATGGAACAGAAGAATCCCTCTTCAAACCTCAAAGGCCATTTGAAGAAGATTTCGGGATGAGTCTCAAGCTAAAAGAATTCGAAGACGGTATTATCATTTCTAATTTCCAGAGTTTCATCGGATGAAAAACTTGACGAAGGAGTAAAATCTAGCTCAGATCATAATAGGAATAATGGATAATTATATATTTCAAGTTGTACAAAACCTAATGGGGTTTTGGGGTTTTGGGGTTTTGGGGTTTTGGGGTTTTGGGG